GAGGTTTTGGTGTCTGTCTGTTAATTAAATGCCGTAACTTATCTTTGGCTCAGAGTGTGTGTTGGTGTGGGACGAGGGGGGTCAAAACAGAACCCTGACATCTGTTCTATTACGTTCCGTTCTGTTCTGTTCCGTTCTGTTCTATTCTACTCTATTCTACTCTACTTCTATTTCTATTTCTATTCTTATTTCTATTCCATTACATTAAATTCCATTCCCATTCTGTTCCATGCAATACTATAGGCTAACTCTGCCCACTGCCAGGAGTTCGATCCTAACCAGCTCAAGGTTGACTCAGCTTTCTATCTTTCCGTGTTCAGTAAAATGAGGACCCCAGGTTGTTGTGGAAAATATGCTGACTTTGTAATTCGCTTAAAGAGGGCTGTAAAGCACTGCAAAGCGGTATATCAATCTAAATGCTATTGCTAATATAGATTTTGCAGGAGAGAAACTACATTGCCATGATCTTTGATGCATAGATAGTCCACAACTTACCACAACTGGTGGCCAGATTTTATGTTGTTAAGCAATATGGTTGTTAAGTGAGTTATAGGCTGGCTGGGGAATTCTGGGAGTTGAAGTCCACAAGTCTTAAGTTGCCAAGATTGGAGAGCCCAGCTCTGGAAGGTTTTGCAGCATGAATCAATTCTCTTACAGCACTTTCTACATCCATTTCTCTCTCCTCTGAGATCTGGCCTTTCCCAAGTCCGCCCCACTTTCTCTCGGCTCACCTGAATTAGGCCAGCTGCAGGATTTCTCCTTTTTTCAAAGTGCTTCTGACGATGCTGTTCTTGAACCTTCAAGGCGAACCCGGAACCTAGGATTCCCTGAAAATTAAATTAACAGAATTAACAGAACAACAGAGGTGGAAGGGACCTTGAAGGTCTTCTAGTCCAACCCCTGCTCAAGCAGGAGACCCTATACCATTTCAGACAAGTGTCTGTCCAATCTTTTGGAATAACAAAATTTGGAAGGGACCTTAGAGGTCTTCTAGTCCAATTCCCTGCTTAGGCAGGAAACCCTTCACCACTTCAAACAAATGTTGTCCAATGTCTTCTTAAAAACATCCAGTGTTGGAGCACTTAAAACTTCTGGAGGCAAGTTGTTCCCCTGGTTAATTGTTTTCACTGCCAGGAAATTTCTCCTTAGTTCTAAGTTGCTTCTCTCCTTGATTAGTTTCCACCCATTGCTTCTTATCCTACCCTTTGGAGAATAGTTTGACTCCCTCTTCTTTGTGGCANGCTAGCAACAGCCTCTAATGCCTCTAGGCCAATTAGGGCTCAGCAGAGTGGTTGCTGGCCCTTTTCAAAGTATCTGAATACACAACACCCCTTTCCCCCAGATTAGTTGATGGGGGGGGGGGTGGAGGACACCAAATTATAACACAGTTCCCCCAATTTTATTGATTCATCCCAAACAGCAGTTCCTTGAATGAACTATTACATGTGTCTGAATACACAACAGTTACATTTAGGGTTAGGTTTAGGGTTAGCATTAGGTTGAGGTTTACAGCGCGCTTCTGTCGCCGTGCTGTTGTCGGCGTGATTCAGCGCTCATTCATCGGAGCGCTTTAGAACTTGCGGTTTTGTCACCACGTTTTAGTTGGGCGCGCTTTTGTCGTTCGCCCTTTTGTCGGTGAACCATTATGGGCAAGAGGCTGACTCTGTGAATGGCTTAGAGAGGGCTGTAAAGCACTGTGAAATGGTACATGAGTCTAAGTGCTGTTGTGTCAGAGTTTTGGCAGTGTGGCTAGTATTATGACCATTATGAGATAGACCCAGGAGCAAAACACAGCACACAGAGCCTTCAGACAAATAATAGACTTGTGTGGACCTCCCATCTGTCTTAAAAGGGTTATTATACCCATGATGGCAAACCTATGGCATGCGGAGACATTTCTTAGGGCATGCAAAGTGGTACTCTGCCAGCTTATTTCAGCCTTCATTTTCAGCCATTTTTTGCCCTCCGAAGGCTTCCCTGAAGCCTCTGGAGGGAGGAAAACAGCCCTACGGACAACCCAGAAATCCATTTCCAAACTTCCAGTTTGCGCGTCGGGCCGTTTTTTGCTCTCCGGAGGGAGAAAATCGGCCCTATGGGCAAACCCGGAAGTCAGGAAATGGGCCATTTCCAGCCTCCGGAGGACCTGCGAGGGGGCAGGGGAGGCAGTTTTCACCCACCCCAGGCTCCTAGAAGACCTCTGGAGCCTGGGGAGGGCGAAAAAACAGGTCCACCGTGCCATCGTGTGCCCGAAGTAGGGGGAGGGTAAGGGGTTGCACCCACATGTATGGGGGGGGGGTCATGCATGTATGCCCGGGGGGAGGGCACACACGCATATGGCCCTGCGTGCTGGGTTATACCATAGCTGCAATGAATCGGGATCATTGCATCAGCTTACTGATTAGAGCTTACAACCTTTCATCAGCTGGCAGCTATTAAATCCTCAGTACTTTGACATATTGCTACTTACTGCTGGGAGAGCAAAAAAGGAAACCCCAATCAAAGTGAAGGTGGCTGCCAGGAGACGCCCATTCCAGGTTTGTGGATACTTGTCCCCGTAGCCGATGGTCGTCAGAGTAATCTGGAGGAAAACAAGTGAATCATTGTACAGTATCTTCAAAATTAATATTGGCGCAGGAGCAATATCAAAATAACCTGCTGTATATATGCAAGGCTACACATTATAAACAAGCATTGGAGGTTGTATACATTGTATGTGATAAATAAGATCCTAAAGCGGAAACTCAAATACTTTGGCCACCAATGAGAAGAGTGCCTATGTACATTCTCAGTCATATTCATATTCATATTTCTTGCAATCCTCTGGTCATTAGTGCTCTCACTGAGAGTCATTGAGGCAGTTGAGGTTTATCTGTGTCCTCAGGGTCACCTGAGTAATGCAAATAGGTGGGGAGCCTTTTGGGACTGCTGGAAGGACCATGTTGCAAACAGAAGATGGGTGGTGTCGTATCCCTCCCCCTCCGTTGAGAGGGGGCTGTTCAATTTTGACATAGATGCCCTCTTTGAACCCTCTTTCAAGCCAGAGGTCCTATCTGTCCATAATGTGTCTTCAAAGAGTGCTAACAACCAAGTGACTACAAGGAATATAAATCCTTCCGTTCTCCATCATTCATTCAGAACCGAAGAAGCTTCTAGGATGAGAAGCAAAACCTCTTCAAGCAAAAACAAAGGAAGTCCAGTTGCCTTTTGAAAGAAGCTTCTTTGGGACAAATGAGAAGAGAAGGCTCACTGGAAAACACCCCGAGGTTGGGAAAGGTGGAAGGCAAAAGGAGAAGGGGATGTTAGAGGATGAGATGGTCAGATAGGGTCAATCAATGCAATTAACATGAATTTTGGGGCAAGCTTCAGGAGACAGTGGAGGACAATGGGAGGTCTGGCATGCTGTGGTCCATGGGGTGGTCAAGAATCGGACACAACGTAGCATCTGAATAATAATGAATATGTGGGAATGACCTTGGAAATGGAGATGGAGAAGAGACACAGATGGTTAGATAAGTCTGATTTCTGGCAAGATGTGGCCCAGTGCCAGTCCACGGGCCAGGGGATCCCTGCTCTAACCGTCATAAATATGAGCCAGTTGCCAGGTATCTTGTCAGAGTTTGTTGCATAAATTCAAATCCAGAAGCATCCACAGATAACTGATGCAGCAGGATTCATTAACTTCTTTATATACATAAGAATAGGTGAATAAATGTACAATACCAACAGGTGGTTCTTCCTAGTAAACACAAGGCAGGAGAGTTACAGGCAAACATAAGCAGTTAGCTTCATTTTAGCAGACGAGCCCTGACAAACTGCTAGTTTACTTCTCAGAGCAGCAGACTGCTTAAGTTTCTGTTTCAATTCTCTGCACAGACACAGATCTGTTTAAGCTCCCATTGGCTGACTTAGTNACTCACAGGAGATGATAACGAGCAGCTGTGGCTCGTTAGGATCTCCTCCTGCGGATAAAAGACTGATGGTGCCACACCCTGGTTGCAGAAGTCAACATTCCATTTCTGTTCTAGTCAATGTTCTCTGTGTGCAACCATCGAGAAAAAGCACTTGGATAAGTGACTTGATTTATCTAATCCTGTTTTGTAGCAGTTTATGAGTTAGGACTTTTGCCAGAGCTAATTATCTGTGTTTATTTTGGGTTAGGGTTAGGGTTAGGGTTAGGGTTAGGGTTAGGGTTAGGGTTCAATTACAATCCCATATCCATGGGGAAGAAACAAACAAAATGTTAAAAAGTTATTATATTTATGTAGCTATTTAACCAAGCACATTTAAATTATATTAAAGTAACCAAAATATCTTTACAACCCCTAGGCATGCCCCAACATTTGGGCACCCCTAATGTTTGGAAAGTGAAAGTTGGAAAAACTTGACACACCCTATTGGGGACGTCGAGTTCCTCGTAACAATGAGGACCAGTCGTGTCACTTTTTTCAGCAGCGTCGTAACTTCAGAAGGTCACTAAACAAACGGTGGCAAGTCGAGGACTATCTCTAGATATGTTCAGTTTCGTTGGACAAAAATAGCGTGTTTTAAGCTTGCAAACTATTCTGAGGCCACAGGCAATGGAGATGCTTTCCATCCTAAGGGAGCCACAGCATGACCAAACAGATGTGGTTCGGCTTTCTTTCCAAGAGAAGGTAGCTGCAGAGGACTTTACTGAGCCGTGGTGGCGCAGTGGTTAGAGTGCAGCACTGCAGGCTACTTCTGCTGACTGCCGGCTGCCTGCAATTCAGGAGTTCGAATCTCACCAGATTCAAGGTTGACTCAGCTTTCCGAGGTGGGTAAAATGAGGAGCCAGGTTATTGTGGGCCGTGACCCAACAAAAGCGCGCACAATAAAACCGCATCGCTAAAACCGCAACATCATCAACGTGCCGACAACAGCGCGATGACAGAAAGGCGATTTACAACAGCGTGTCGATTTAAGTTAAGGTAAGGGTTAGGTTTAGGTTTAGGGTTAGGGTTAGGGTTAGGGTTAGGGTTAGATTTAGGGTTAATGTTAGGTTTAGGGTTAGCTTAGCGTTACGTTTAGGGTTAGGGTTAGGGTTAGGGTTAGGGTTAGATTTAGGGTTAATGTTTAGGGTTAATGTTAGGTTTAGGGTTAGCTTAGCGTTACGTTTAGG